TCAATATAAATTTCAATCTCAACTTGGTTTCTTCTTCTTTTTAATACCTCCATAACTCTTTCAACATATCCTAATTTATAAATCATACGATCAGATACAATAAAGATTTTACTCAAGTCTTTAAGCTCTGCAAGATATCTAATAGAAAATGGTTCAAAGAATACTTTTGGTGGTACTTTAAACCAATGAAGATCTCCAGTAGTAGGAATTTGGAAAGGTGTGGTTTCAGACATAATGAATGTTGTTTTGTATATTCATTAATTTCTTATTATCCACGTCACTTTTATTTTCCTTTTCTTTCTTATTTTTTAAAAGCAAATCACGTTAAAAAATTCGAGGGTTTTTTTCTTGTTTTATTTTTGTTTTATTTTTGTTTCTTCTGTTTCTTCTTTTCTCGTTTCGGACGATGAAACGTTTCTTTTTCAATAAAAAATCCACATTTTTCTTTTCTTCTTTAGTTTCCTTTTGACTCTGATAAATGTTCTTTCAGAATGAAAGGTCGTTATTTAGAATTTGAGTACAATAATATGACTTGTGAATCACTGTGTGATAGTGAATGATAAAATCCACCTTTTATATCCAAAAGAATCATTTTTGTTATTAGGAGAAAATATATTTATTAACATTTACTGAGATTATAGAAGACAAACTGAGTTAGTACTTCTGTTTTATTTTCTTTTGTTAGTGGTTGAACCTTTCTTTATTAAAATTAATATAAGAGTGTGACTGAACTAAAATAGACTAAATTAAATATCCTTTTCATCAGATAATTGAATTGAAAATATGTGAATAATAATTTCTTTATGGATATAAGAACTTCAGCAATCATTTATTTAAAATTTAGAACATTATTGTGTCTAGTAGAGATAAGTTTATTCATCTCTTAAACACACAACACTTTGTCTAAATAATATATTGTTATTAGTATATTTAATTTTTGCATAAATTTAAGTTATTTTGATAATTGTATTGTATTGTAGGTGTTATTAAGGGTGTGTTACTTATCTTTTAACAAAAAAGAGTATTAGTTGTACTAGAAGACTTTTTTAGCAACTTAATCCGATTTAACATTTTCAGTGATTGTAATAGAGGATTAATGTTTTATTACAGTAAGAATTTAGTTAATGATTAAAAGAAAGAAGTTAATTCAATCGAGAGTTTCAAATTTAATAGCATCATTTTGAATTGTAAAAATATTTGTAGACTCAATGAAATAGAATTTTAGTTGTTTTAGAAGTTATTTATTTCAATTCATTAATACATACAAATCAATATTAATTCAAGGAGAAAATGTATTAATTCAAATTCCATTTGAATGACATAAAAATGTTCTTACTCTAATAGGACTAAATCACTTATTATCATGTTATTCGGAGAAGTTGAGTTAGTTTTATCAATACAAAAGACTTCTTAATATCTTATACACTATGAATTTTAATTACTCAAACAATAAGAATAGAGTGAATAAACTTTTCAATTTCAGATAATATTTATGAAAATTGATTATCAAGAATGTAATAAGAATTTTATAAAAGAATTGAAATTAGGTGTTTATATGAAAATGTGTTTGTATGATAGGTTCAGTACCATTACTAATTACAGGAATGGTAAAGTTCATTTCTGTGAACAATTTCATATAAAAGTTAATATGAATAAGTTTTTTTGTATTCTTCAAAATTCTGTTCATTGTTATAATTTAAGTTAGTTAGAGAAAGAGATATACGTGAATATTTGTATTTGAATTTTATGTCTCTATCAAAAGCCTTTAATTTTATTGCCATTATCATAAAACATTTATGGATATAAAGAAATATTCAAAATTAATTGGGTTATATTTTAATAAGTTTAAAAGATTATTTCTTCCATTCTATTAATTTTCTTCACCCAATAATTTTTATCTAATTTATTAATTTAATAACCAGCTTGTAATAATTAGATTGCAATGGATTTAATGGAAAATATAAATATTGTATGAAAATTATAAATAGAATAACAAGTTTATTATTTTCATATTCATGAATAACAGAGAGTTTATAAAAGTAATTGTATAATTTAATTCACTAAATTGTTTCTAGAGTTTGCTGAACAAGTTAAATTATAGAACTTTTTAGATTAAACTTTTATTACTCCTTATAATAAAAAGATTAATTATAACAACACATAATAAATAAAATATTTAAGCATGAAGATTTTGGCACTTCAATATATTTTGGTTAATGTAAGAATAGTTTCAATATAACAAGAAATCTTTTATAAAATAGTAATTTCATTCTTCTTAATTATGGATGTTTGTAATGTTTTTTTGACTATTATATATTTAAATAATAATAAT